AGAGTTGGACACTTAACTGACTGAGCCATCCAGGTGCCCCTAATTTTTTTAACTTTTACCATATTGAAAATAAAATTTACAATATTACTTAAAACTTACCTCTTCCAGGAAGTATTCCCCAGTTAACAGGTTCTTTCTCTTTTGTTGGGCTTCCTTAACATTTACATATTTAATTTACACTGTAGAAGTCAGGTTTAAACTGCACATCTTGGGGTGCCTGGGTGGCTCAGTCGGTTAAGCGGCCAACTTTGGCTCAGGTCATGATCTCGCGGTCCGTGAGTTCGAGCCCTGCGTCGGGCTCTGTGCTGACAGCTCAGAGCCTGGAGCCTGTTTCAGATTCTGTGTCTCCCTCTCTCTCTGACCCTCCCCTGTTCATGCTCTGTCTCTCCCTGTCTCAAAAATAAATAAAAATAAATAAATAAATAAAATAAACTGCACATCTTTGTTGCTCATTTCACCTTTTACCTTTGACATACAAGTGTCCAACATTTCAGAATAGGTTTTAAACTCCTTCTTAGCCAAAGCCAACACAGGACTGTATATTGCTTTGGGTTTGTTTGGTTTTCTATGAAAAAAGATTTGAAGCTCTCTAAAGGCAAGGGTATACATTATTCTTTGTAGCTCTAACAGAGCAGGAACAGGCACTTAACATTTTTTTTAAAGTTTATTTATTTATTTTGAGAGAGAGAGAGAGTGAGCAGGGAAGTTGCAGAGAGCGAGGGAGAGAGAATCCCAAGCAGACCCTCTGCACTATCAGCACAGAGCCCTATGCAGGGCTTGATCCCACAGACTGTGAGATCATGACCTGAGCTGAAATCAAGAGTCAGATGCTTAACTGACTGAGCCTCCCAGGCACTCCTAGGCACTTGATCTTTGATGAGGAAGAGAAAGATGAGGTTGAAGCAATAGAAACTGAAAGTAGCTGGAGATGGGATGGGTATGTGTGTTGGGACATATTGACTTGACTATTAGACCCTTCCAGGAAGGGCTAAGCTAGGATATGACCCAGAGGATGGGGAGGAGGGGACTATGTGGCCTCTATTGCCTGAAATAGCTCTTGGTAACCTGAGGAATTGGAGTCAGGGGTTGAGCTGGGGTCACGTGCCTGGTTCTGGCGCGCGAGTAGAGGTGAACAAGGGAGGTTGCCAGCCGGGTTCTCTGAGCAGCTGGAAGGAGGAGGAAGGGCTACAAGAGTTATTTTTAATATTATTCAGAGCAGAGAAAGAGGATTTCCCAGTAGGGAAAAAAAGGGATATGATGTAGGTAACACAGATACGTCCAAATTTCAGGGAGATACAAAAAATCTGAGAGGAGGCCGGAAGTGGTAGCAAAGCCCTTCTATGAAGACAGTCCTGTGATCCAACTACTGAATTCACATTTGGGTAACTCTACGCAGATACCTGCCTGTTTTTAAGCCTCAGTTTTCATTCTTTTAACAAATGCTGATTGAGGACTCAACCATTGTTGAATACATAGTACAGCCCCATAGTAACTGGTTTGTAAGTAAAACATAGAGGTGTCTATTTTTGTGGAACTTAGAAGAACATACATATACATATGAAACAACTAGAGAATATAGGATACACGATATTTTACATGGCATTATGTGTTTGGAGTAATGTTCAGGGATGGGTTCAGTCAAAAGAGGGTCTTCTTAGAGGAGGTGTGTTTTGAGTTAGTACTTGAAGGAAGTTATCAATGTAGAATGACAGGGAAATGGCAGGAAATTGGTTGTTCAAGTACAAAGAATGAACTAGGAAAAGTTTAAATGGCAGTAATTAGCTAATCTAATTAGTAGGGGGACAATAAGCAAATTGACTTGGCAGGCCTATTGTACCTTGGGGATTCTGTGGCAGTTAACTCTAAAAGAATAGTGTTAATGAGGTCACAGTTCAGTCATATATCCGGGTTAATTTCTGTCTTTTACCAAGCCAGATCCTTTCTCCTCACTCTATGCAGCTGTCTCACATGTGTAAATCCTTAGTCAGAGGGAGTGGGTCGGGACAAGGAAGCAGGGCTGGAAAGAGTAAATCTGTCCCTGAAGGTCACATGGCCATCTGAAAGTGGCTCCAGATTATCATCTTTGAACTGCAAGGAGACACTGTATCCTGGTGGTGGGGGCAGGGGTGCTGAGGGTAAAAGAAATGTTAGAAGAGAAAAAGAGGTAAGATCATTCACCAATTTTGGGCTTCATGTATATATAATATAAAATGAAGATTAAAATACCTTCCTTATAAAATGTTAAATGAAAGCCAGGGTTCAAGGGATGGCTCCTGTTCCTTGAGATCCAAATAAAGTGGGCTCAAAATTTAAAGCAACCCAGAGCACCTGACTAGCTCAGTTGGTAGAGCATGTGACTCTTGATTTCAGGTTGTAAGTTTGAGCCTGATATTGGGTACAGAGATTACTTTAAAAAATAAGATCTTAGGGGTCCCTGGGTGGCTCAGTCGGTTAAGCGACCAATTTCGGCTCGGGTCATGTTCTCACGGTTCGTGGGTTCAAGCCCCGCGTCAGGCTCTGTGCTGACAGCTCGGAGCCTGGAGCCTGCTTCAGATTCTGTGTCTCCCTCTCTCTCTACTTCTCCCCTGCTCATGCTCTGTCTCTCAAAAATAAACGTTAAAAAATAAAAAAATAAAATCTAAAAAAATTTTAAATCAATCAATATCCAGTGGAAGTCCTAAAATTAATGCCAATTAATGCAATTAATGCTCCTTTCAAGAAAGATGAGGGAGATGGAGGAATTATATCTGTTTCCAGGCCCCTGTTTCTAGGCAAGATGTTTCTCTTCCACACCAATTAGACCCCAAAGGCAACACAGTCTTTAATTACTTTATCCTTCTTCTCCCTTTCACACAAAGTTTTCCTGAATTTGGAAATGTGACCAAAGATTTAGAACAAAAGCAGAGGAAGGGCTTGCAGTGTAATAGCAAAAATATCTCTAAATGCAACAGCAGGCACCACCATTCTTTTTTCTTTCTTTTTTTTTTTTTTTTTTTTTTTTTAACTTTGAGAGAGGGAATCCCAAGCAGGCTGCGCATTGTCAGAGCAGAGTCTGACGTGGAGTTCGACACCAGGATCCATCTCAGGAACCATCTCACCAACGGTGAGATCCTGACCTGAGCGAAATCAAGAGTAGGATGCTTAACGGACTGAGCCACCCAGGTGCTCCAGGCACCACCATTCCTCTACTCCACCGTGGGAGAATTTCAATGGCTTTTATACCCACTTAGATTCACTCTCTTTTTTTAATTTTCCTTTTGTTCTTCCCACTTTTATCAAGAGCATTTCCCCCCTACTGTATAGTATATATAGCAGTATAGTGACATTTCTTTGCCTGCGTGCCTACCCATGAAGCCTCATCCTTCATCACGTGCACACTTCCAGACAAAGGCGTTTTTCTCCCCTAAAATTAAGTCTGGTTCTTTCAACCCTGACTTCTTCCTATAAATATTAAAAGAGAAAACTATACAAAGTCTTAGCCCAGGGCTTGGAAGATTAATTTCCTTTCTCAAAGATGTACAGCATAGTACTAGGCACTAGAGGCTACAAAGATGAATAGGACTTCTAACTACGAACAAGAAAGACTATAATAAAGGCTCTAAAAGAGATGTTCAGAAGATCAACATATCTGCCATCGACACGCCCACGAAGTCGCTTCTGTGCTTATGTATTATCAGTTCCGTGACCACAGACAGACTCGCCAAGTAGTTTGCCTGACGACCTCGTTCCTCCTGGACATCTCTGCAGCTTCTCAAACACTTATCCCTGCGCCCTTTCTCGCTAGAGGTGTGAAACTACATCTCCCGAAAGGCCGCGTTGTCCCCTTCCTTCCTCCCTCTCCCGGTTCCGAGTCATGGCAACGGCGTGACGTGAGGGTACTGGGAGCTGCGGGAG